GAGTTCCCAGGTACATGAAGCAGAGGGTTTATTGAAATAAACGTGTTCAGTTACTGGATGGAAAACTTGCAGGGATTCACAGGAAACGCGTTATCCCAACAGCAACGCAGCAGCCTACGAGACACAATCCCCATTCATTAAATACACAACTTTTGCAGCAAAGAGCACCTTCTACTTGGGACAGGCCCAAGCAGGAAAGTCCCAGCAAGTGGTTCTTGGGGAGCAGGCGCTTGCCAGGACACACGGACACAATGCAGGGGGGAATGGAGCCAACAGCGCGAGTGTGCAAAGACCCATGGCTGCTCCCATGGATTTGGGCTGCTTTCCACAGCCCGTGCCTGAGGAAAAGTTCCTGCAGTCCACGGAAAGAGGCTGATGCTCTTCCGGACGGGATGCGAAAGACCCTTTTCTATTCATTTTTTGGGAGACCTCTTCCTTTTCTGAGTCTGAGCATGAAGCAAAAATGCTGGGGCTGTATTTGCTTCCCATGTTTCCAGCTTGTTCAAACCCTGCTTTAAGGATATACCACAAATATTTCCAGCTGCTTTTACAGCAAACACCAGGAGGATTTATTTTGTATTACTTGGCACAGATGAAGCTTCTGATAGATTACAGCTTTGCACAGAAATTCCTATCCCATGCAAAAACTGATCCTCAGTTGCTTAAAGAAGAATATATTGTTTGACTCACTCCTGAATGATCCAGATCAGTCAATGTGGCTGATCTCCTGTTCGAACTGCAGAAAGGATTTTGTCCAGAAAATCTGAAATCTCTCCTTTGATTTTGTCCTTGGCCACAAAGACTTTTGCACAGAAAATACGGAGTTTATCACAAGAGCCCGTCAGAAGATTCCCAGACCTACTTATGACTTAAGAATTTTCATTCGAAGGTCAACAGCTTCCAACAGGATCCACAAAAATGCAATGGGAAGCAGGGTGTCTTTGATTACACATCCTACAGCCAAGCACCACCAAGACCAGCAGCGACCAGGGGGAAAAAGAAGATGCAAGGCTCACATGCTCAAAGCAACTCATGCCACAACTAACCTGATATTTCCTTTCTGCAGCTGCAATTACTTGCATTTTACAGCTCTGGGCAGATGTCACGTGTCACAGGAGGTGCTGGGAAGAATACTCATTTATTAAGTAATTTATAGCATAATAATTAACAGCTATTCGTGGGAGAGTTAAGATGTGACAAAACTGTCCCCATTTGCAGTGCCAGCTCTGCCTCCTTCCAGGAAATCTGGCTTTGTCCACGCAAGGTGAGCGCCTTGGTGCTGGCCCCATGGACAGACACGCCGAGGTTGTGATCTTGGCGATGGCAATGGGAGAGGAGGAGGCCCCTTGAAGGAAGAGTTACCCAACACAGCACATTTTGTGGAAGGAGCATGGAAAAGGCACCGTTTGGACCCAGACACACACCCCCGCGGTTTCGGCACGCTGCGGCAGGTCGTGTTTGGGAGGGGAAGGAGCCGGCACATGTATTTTTTGAGCAACCCTGCATTATTCCTGTCTTACCTGCACAAAGCCACACGCAGCACGGGCCGCTCCTCCCCGGCAGCAGGATTGCAGCTCTTCGTTCACCATCCACCAACACTCACTGTTTTTCCTGGAAAAGCTCCTTTCCCCAAGGAAACAACAGTATTATCTAGCTCCTACTGCTTTCTTCTCCCTCAGCAGGGAGACAAGGCTGCTCTGGGCATGCAGGGACCCCAGAGTGGTTTCCTCCCCTGTGGGATAGGGAATTGCACCCTCCAAGGGGGATGCTCACATTCCCTTCTCTCTCCCCTGTAAGTCCTGTGCAGGGAACGTTCCCCAGGAGCTCGTGACTGCACCGATGCCAAGGGAAAAGCAGGGCTCAGACACCCACATCCTGCAAAAACCTCGGGCCCTCACACAAGAGCAGCACTGGGGGTCAGCAGCGCCCCTGGATGGGACCAGCAGGCAGGAAAGGGGGGGAAAAAAAAGTCCCACTGCGCTCCCCCTGCACAGCAACAGGAGGTGGCCAGGCTGGTGGTGACCAGCGTTTGGTGGCAGACACTGCCCTCCAGTGGGACATCTGCTGCTAAACCCATCCTGCACAGAAAGAAGGATGTTCCCACCTCAGAGCGAAGTTGGAGGCCTGAGACAGCTGAATTTTGCTGCAGCCCAGTTCTGGGGATTTTGTGGGGCTTTTTCTGCACTGAACAGAGATGTAAGAACTACCTTAACGTAAGGAACCAAAGGTTACACTGAAGTATTGAAACTTTTTTTATTATTATTTCTTAAAAGCATTGAATTATAGTACAATGAGTTAGGAACAGATCTCAGGGAGAATAAGCTGACAGAACAGGCTGAGAGCAAGGGCTTAGCCTTGGAAAGCAAAGCAGGCATTAAAAGAAAATCCCAAGGAAGACTGGAATAGCTGTGGTCTCTAAAACACACCAGAAGGGTTTGTAGGAAAGCATCAAGTGTGGGAAGGCAGGAGCGAGCAATCCGCAGCTTGCAGGATAAACAAGAGGGGGCCAGAAATGCAGGTTAGTCACCCAAGCACATCTGCTTGCACCTCATGTCATGTTCCAGTGCCCTGCGCTTCGTCCCCCTTGCTCAGAGGTTCTCCTCCTGCTGCATGAAGGCTCTGGAGGCCCGGCCGGCGTGGGCTCGGGAGATCCACTCCGGCGGCCGCGCGCGGACCTTGAGCTGGAAGGGCTCCAGGGCCAGGCAGTCCTCCAGGTGGCTCAGCTCCATCACCACCTCGGCCACCGGCTCCTCCTCGCGCCGGGCGCCCGGCTCCTCGG